GTATGAATCGGTTCGGAACCCAAATTTGGTTCCGAACCGATTCATAACTTAAGAATAATTGTTGATGTATGCATGTACATGTATGGTCACAATTCCCAGGAGCATGTGAATCAAAGAAACACGAGTATTCACTTCATTTAGCAGTTACTTACCATGTTGACACTGGTCTCCATGGAAACCTTTCTGGCAGTTGCAGGTGCCGTCTTCAGTACACTGACCATCATTCAAGCAATTGCACACTGCAGTAGAGATTGGGTGCATTCACGTATTTCCCAAAACACACAAATAGGGATAGAACTTGAATAACCTATTGGATTCTCAAGTCGTTGTCGCATGTACCTTGATCATCATGACATTGTATAGACCTCAACATCACCACAAACACTAACACTAACACCCATTCACCAATCCCAGGTATAACCAACTTATAATCATGCCTTGCACTTGAATAGAACACACGTTCAGCTAATAAAGCTGGAGAACCAGGCATAAACGCTGGGAAGTACTTTTTCTTGTCTTCAAAAACAACAGTCCAGCACGCGGGTATGCATGGGTCATATATTCTTTGACACGCGGGCTAAAATGGCAGCAGCCTTCTTTAGCCCTTACCTTCTGTGCAGATGGGTCCGTCTGGTCTCGGTTTACATTCACATGCTTTGTTCTTTTTCACCCAGGGATTTGTGCACACAGCTGCATTACATATCACACACAGAGAAGACAAAATGAGAGAGCGGATCAGCCATACACAAAATGGACAGACAAAACGAGAGTGTTGTGGAATTATCCACCACCAGACCAGCGCAAGGATATAAGTTGGACTATAATTATTAATTTCAATTCCAAAATGCACAAGAAGTGTACAGAAGAAAAAAAGCACGAACTCGACCAGGCCAGAAGCAAGAAGAACTGAACACAAGATATTGAAAACCCTTCTCCTCAACAAGCTGCATCACGTACAACGCAAAACAACTGGCTGCACCAGTGTGTGCATCAGCGCGTGCACCAGCGTGTGCACCAGCGTGTGCACCAGCGCTGCACCAACGTGTGCACCAGCGAAATCAATATCGAAAGTACGTATCAATCATTACATTACATACAACATGCGCAAGAGGGTTACTCTACTTCACGACGTAGAAGAACGGCATCACCAACGGCGAACAGACAGTTATCAGCTTCAGACTCAACAAAGTCCTTGGAGGACAGCTCAGCTTCCACAAAATCACGGATCCGAGCAGCCTGGCGTTCTAGATCAGATGGAGTCCGGCCCAGCCCAGGAGTAGCCGACAAGAGAACACCGGAGGGCTCCCAGCCAGGCATCGCACACATAGGAGAAATCTTGAGGACAGAGTGCGGACGAATACGGTCGAAATACAGTAACACGTCCAGCTCAGATCGCCAATCATCAGCCTCATCCAACACCTTCCGAATTAAGGTGAGGAGAGTGCGGTTAAATCGCTCAACAGATCCCTGTAATAGGGGATGACTCACGGCACCGTTGAGCACTGTCACACCAAACGTGTCAAACAGCGATGACATCACGGCGTTGATGAATTCCGTGCCATTATCACAGCAGACCACTCGGGGCGGGCCCCACCGCGTACACAGGCCGACAAATGCCTCGGCCACTGATGCCGCGTCACGTTGACGGAGCAGAACCGCTTCCATCCACTTGGTGAAAGTATCCATGCAGACGAGAACACAATGGTACTCTCCACTCTGATCGACGCCCAGTTCCAGAGTATCTATTACTACAACACTCCATTGGGCCATCAGCCACCACAGGGCGACTGGCATCTGCCGAAACGTCCTTGGTTGGGCTGGCAGCAGCACACGGCGAACAGTGGCGCACAAAAAAACTGCTGACATTGGGCAGCCATTTTCGGCAAATAGCACTTCGAGCGGAGGAAGCGCCATGTACCCTCCCAAGACGCATGACCACAGTTCACATGAGCAGCACGAACGACATCGGACTCGAGTGAACTAGGAATAACAGGAATGACGACTGCATCATTGGGCGGCAACTTCACACTTCGACACAGCATACCATCATGGACTACGAGCTGTGACTTGACCTTGACAAACGCAGGATCAGTAACTGGGTCACCATCGATGACTTGCTGGCAAGTCGCAACAATCTGAGGATCTGCATTCTGAGCAGCACATACTCTGTCCAATGAGAATGGACTAACGGTCACCACCGCAGCGGTGACGGACGGTGCAAAGGAGCGTCTTGCCACATCGGATCCAGCTGCTGGGAACACGGGTCAATTGATCCGCTTTGTTCTGCTGACTGCTGATCCACTGGACCTTAACTGTCAAGCCCGTGACAGCGACGAGATCAGTGATAATCTGGAGACGGCGCTGTACAAGTACCTGCTGCAGGCCGCTGACGCGAACACGAGACACCTTGCCAAGCACCGATTGCAACCAAGCAGCCACAGTCTTGGAACCGGTGAATAGTGTGAGCTCCTTCACTTGCCACTGCATGGCAAGGTGCAACCCCTTGATCACGGCGTCACGCTCAGCGATGTTAATGTGTCGCCGGTCGTTCTTCTGCCGCAACCAGCAGCCATCCTCGACAATCCTACTATCGGCCTGAATGACAGCACCATGTGCGATGTCCGAAGCATCACACCACAACGACCACTGTGCGTCTTTAGGAACTGACAACACACCTTGCGCAGGGTCATCGGTCTGCAGACGGTGAATGACTTCCGCACAACAAGCGACGACTTCATGAGACACTGGATCGTCCCATCCAGGCTGAAGGCTAGACAGACGCTTCAGATAACTGCACGCCAGGCGCAGCCAGGAGCCGACAGGATATTGGCTGGTCAGCTTGCCACACCACTTGAAAATCTCGCGCCTTGTGACGGCATCGGGCTGACAGGTCGGCATGACGTCACCACGACGCTTCCACCTCACTTGGCCATCTGCAGACTCTTACAGCAGCAGGCCGAGTACTGTAGCAGAGACAACTGGCTCCGCTGGCTTGGTGGGCAATCTGTACTGCGACAACTGATCGGTGACAGCACGCAGACGAGGCTTCGGAGCATACAAATCGTCGACATAGTTATCCACATCAGCTTACGCACGGAGGACCCACTTGACGATTATGTCCATGAATTTGGGCGCAATCGATAGATGGAAGCCCATCCTCTCCATTGCGAACAGCTGGCCCTTCCAGACGATCGTTTGGAACTTGGCGAGAGCTGGCGCGATGCGGATGTTGAGGTAAGCCTTGCTGATGTCCAGCAACACGTGGCTGTCGGCGTTGCCAATAGACCTCCACTGACACAATTTCTCTTGGCAAACAGGCACGTCCAAACCTGGATGCGACACAATCAACTTGTTGAGTTGCCGGTAGTCCAAACGCGGGCGGACAGGGGTGGACTCCTTGTGTGTCTGGAACACCGCCAACAAGGGAAACACAGCACCAGGCTCACCATGGACTGCTTGGTTATGGGGTACCAACCATCCATTGCGGATCAACATGTCCACTTCCTCGCAAAACTGTGACTCCTACCCTCTGTCCCCCTCTAAGTCTAACACATGAGGACTGAGACCTGTACAACAGGGTTTTTACGCCTGAAAGCAGGTGCATGATTTAACAAGCAGGTTGTCAGTCTAGATTTTATGCGCAGATGGAGAAAAAATGCGCAATTTTTTTGTAATGTGATGAAAAGCAGAAATAATAAGAAAAGATGAAATGAAAGCCTGCTCCGCACAACCCGGTCCAGCCTTGCGAACTGGGTATGGTGGATTAAGAACCCGGGTCAACGCTCGAGCAAGCGCTCTCCACTCCAGGTGTTCACAGCAACTGTTAGGGAAATTATAGAAAAGAAATAATAGGATGAAGTCAAGCTCATTTGAATTTTCGGTTTGTACGGTGTTTGCAGCAGCGCGGATTCGAATCTCCTCACGCATGTTCCTGTCGATGACCCCGAGTACGTTGTCGTGCCTCCAGGTGTATGCGTGTAACGTCCTGGTCCAGCGCTACGCGACAAGCGCCAAACACGTGACGCATAGTACAGGCCCAGGAGAAAGAGAGAGAGAGAAAGAGAGAGGGAGAGAGAGAGAGGAGAGAGAGAGAGCGAGATGGAGAGAGCACGAACGCACGTACCGGAATGCTAGCGTAGCGCAGCTACCTTGGATCGTGAAGGCGTACTTATCCATGCGCTGTTGGGTTTGTTCCTCGCCGAACGGCTTCACCTGTACATTTACAACACCAACGTGTGTTGTTGACACCAACGCTGCAGTCACAAATGACGCCTCAGCACCGGAGTCCAGGAACACGCGAACCTTCGCCTTTCGAGTTCTTCCCTCAACTCGTGCAACTCCGCTCATCAGCCGCACACTTGCTGAGTGTAGACAGCACGATCCAACCTTCTTCTCTGTTACTATCTAAGTCGGTTTCTCCCGGCTGTAACCTGCTCCATTCAACACATCATGTATTAGCAGATGGTGCTTCCCCTGGCATTTTGTGCACCTCAAGCCTGACCGATAGTCCCTTGCCACATGGCCATACTTGAGGCAGTTCCAGCAGAGTCTCTCTCGCTGCAGAAAACCTTTCTCCCTTCCTGTGGCATCGACTTTAGCTGCTTCTCTGCATCTGCGACTAGGTGAGAAAGTACTCATTATGTACAGTAACATTGAGTGCCGAAGAACAACTCTCCTTTGCCTAGCTTGAACTTTCACCTGACGACGGACAAAAGCAAAAAATAGCTTTCAATGTTTTGCCAAGAGTAGGTAACAAGCTCATCAGCTCAAACGCCTTACTCTTGAAGAACAAAAAGATTACAATTTGTGTAATGAAACAGGCTGAACACTAAACTCAGGAATAACGGGGTTTCATGTAAAGTTACTTTGTACAGTTCACATCTACTCTCGGACACTAGCGAAATACAATAAGAACAAGAAGCTGAAATCTGGAAAACAAGAACATTGCTGGTCTGAAGCCGGGACCCCATCCTAGGTACCTGAATGCTATTGCATGGTTTTAATTGGCATGAGCAGACTGTAACATACTCTAAACACACCCTGATAGATGCAGGACTAGATGAAAAAACACAGGCTAACAGCTGGATCTTGAGTACCTAGCCGGAAAATATAAAGACGCTCCGTAACGCATGACAATGGCAGGCCTCTATCAGCCACATGTAAAGTGCTGCCAACAAAATTGGTCTCTGGAAATTGGCGCAATGAGCATAACTTTGGAGTTTCCACATCCCGAACAATTTGACTGTGCCGACACCTCTATACTCATTACAAATTGCTGACTGACCTTGACATTGAGTTCCATTTCCGTGGTAACCTGACTTGCACAGACACATGTATCCGCCATCATTATCAATGCAGATAGCATCGACATGGCATGGGCTAGCCGGCAAACATTCATCAATGTCTGAACAACAGTAGGTAAGCAGAATGCAAGGGGTTACTAACTGATTACATACTGCATTGTAACCATGTCCAGCGTCATATAGGCACAACAAAAACAATTCAAATTCATCAGACAGCTCTAATAGCCTCAATCTCAATTGCTGCGAAAACAATTTGATCTTTTCTCGAGATTATAAACACTTGTGTCGCTGTCGATTGATTCTACAAACTCTGCTATAATCTATACTTGTCCAAATTCTGAAACCAGCAGAACATTTGCACAGATAAATCTTGCAAACTGCTGCTGCACAGATCATTTCAGCGGACAGTGGGGTGTTATGGCAGAAGCAGCAGAGAATGCGGCAAAGAACGAACAAACACAAAAAGGAACTCTGACCAGCTTTCAATACCACACAAGAAAACAGGAAATGGTTTGGTTTGCAAACACTGCACACCATCATCAAGTAGAGCATGAGACTCTTAATCTCAGGGTCGTGGGTTCGAGCCCCACGTTGGGCGCCAATGTTGTAGAATTCCCCCCCCCCCTCCCCCCCCCCCCGCTTCCCGCCACACAAACACTCTCTGACTCATTCAGGCGGGCAAGAGAATAACACAGTTACTTGAACAATATCTCTTGGAATAAATAACTAACTGGTGGGCGGGAGAACGGGGGAGAAGAGACAAAGAAATAATAAACAAAACAAAAAACTAAGTCTGAAGAAAATGTTGAATGACCTCTGCTGGGATGACGACTACACCATAGCTCAGAGATTAGAGCATCGCTGGCTACAAGCGAAGGTCCCTGGTTCGAGTCCTGGTGGTGACAGTCAATGTTTTCTTCAGACTTTTCCCGTTTGTCTCTTTCCCTCAAACCAGTTAAAATAATAAACAACCAACAGTTATAAACAGAGAAAAGGCGAACACATCGAAACGACCAATCAGGGACTAATACGTACAGAACACATGACCAGGCCAAGACAACCAGACCACGGACGAATCACACATGACTCTCATTCCCAGACCAAACTAGCACTGTGCATGTACAGCATTCATTTGACAGTCACTCTCACACAGACGGAAGTACATCCTCACACTCTGACAACGCGTAATCTTGCATGCACCACATGCCATAAACGTCACACATCACACCATACTCGCGCGTACACTTAGACCATAATATTATGACATCAGACACTGGACACCACCAGACAAGAGCCAAATACAACAACATGCGTAAATCATAGTCGAACAGAAATCCGTAACAGTATGGTTGAACTGTGTGCCATAATCATCGACTCGAGTACTATTTGAGAAAACTAGCGAGCATTCGACTGAATACGAGTATTCTACTGACCAGACATAAAACAATGCACGCCTACACTCTTGCAAAACCAAAAGTAGTACACCTGGTACGCATGATTGTAGTCTTGCTTGCAGCCTAGTTCGGGAAATACTCGCAACTACTGTGTTATTCTGCTAAGTAGGGACAAATAATATTAAATGTTGGGGGTCATACTACTGACAGTAGTTTTTGCGAAACAACGACTCGCTCATTTCAAATTTTCAAGAGAGGGATTGAGTATTGGACATACTCATGTTACCCTAACAGTAAAGGGTGTGTTTGGTTGGTACAAACTAGAACAGGATCCAACAGCTGGTGCACATGGAGCAGCCTCATGCCAACCAAACGGTACTCCAGAAACAGAGCACATTTTTTGTGAAAAATGTGCCAAACTTTGTTCATTCTTCAAAATGTTTATGAGTCACCATGGTCACTTTGTACGGTACAACGAGTTCAACGCAAAAAAACGTATGCACGTGATCATTTGGGACCAAAATCGATGTTCCTGCCACGTTTTACTGTGAACAACTGCTCGGTCTGCTCCGGCCTCGAGGCCGGAGCAAGCAGAACATGTTCTGGTCGACCCAGAACAGGTGCAGTCCCAACCAAACACGCTGTTCTGGTGAATCCTGTTCTAGGTCATACCAACCAAACGCACCCTAAGAAGCATGCGTATTCACTTCACTTACTATGCTGACACTTGTCTCCGTGGAATCCTTTCCGGCAGTTGCAGGTGCCATCTTCAGTACACTGACCGTGATTCAAGCAATTGCATACTGCAGCAGTGATTGGGTGTATACACGTATTATCCAAAGCACACAAATGGAAATAGAACATAGTATATTGGATTCTCAAGAAGTTGCTGCATATATTTTGATCATCAGGAGATTGTCTAGACCTCAAAATACCTATTTAAAACACTCATTCACCAATCCCAGGTATATCCGAAGCATACTCATTCGAATCTTTTCTTGTACATAAATGGAACAAATTTTCACCCACTTGAAGTCGGATTATGCTGGAAACCCTGGCATGGAAACGGGAGGTACTTTTCTTGTCTGGAATTATAACTTTCCATTGTCCATGTACCCATGAGTCTTAGTGTGTTAAACTGCTCTGGTGGTGGCACACACAAATAATGCTATCAATACCTTCGGAGATGACTCACCACGTCAAACGTACAACGAACCAGCATAGTCGATGCCGGTAGTTGCGAACGGCCTCTCGTGAACAACTCGGTCTGTTGGCAGCGGCGGGCAGACTTCTGAGGCAGCCTTAGCCTTGTAGCGGCGGCATAATTATAACACATCACTGAGTAATGTTGCGTAGCGCTCGTCGACCGCCGATAATCCAGAATTTCTGACGGATGTACAACAAGACCCCTTCTACACCTTGGTACATGCTTTCGACGTGCGTTTTCTCCAACAGCTACTTGGTCAGATGATGTTTACCTGTTAGAACTGGGTGCTTGGCTCCATACGCCAACTCGCTGTAGTGGAGTCGTCCCCCCGGCTCCGACCTACCCATGCTCATCCAGAAACGATGATACACCTTCGACCCAGCCTTCAATGGTTGACCTTGCTTCATCAGCTCAAGATCCTCAGCGAAACATTTGGCTTGAACGATGCAGTACAATACGTTGTCAGCTGCAAAATAGTTTAGTAAGAGGCTCAGTGTGCTTCCACTGCAACATCCGAGTCGCCATGCCCTGTGCCCACGACCACTTACTAAATCGGAGCCACCATTCATTATCAGATTCTCGGCTACAGGTGGTGGGTGACACTCGCACTTCTACACTGGACTCATCAGTACCAGCGGTTGAGGATGCGGTGGGCCAGTCATCGGGCTCCGTGATCCAGGTTGGCCCGCCCAACAAGAACGGACTACGGATCTGCTGTGCATTACTCCCACGTGACGGAAAATCTGCCGGTTTGTGAAGGCCCGGGCAATGGTTCCACACAATGCCGACCTTCTTCGATATCTCTTGGTCTTGACGGACGCGGTTCACCACAAATGTTTTCCATCTGTACGATGGATTACCGATCCAATAAACGGTAGTGAGACTGTCAGTCCAGCCATAGACTTGAGTGAAGGTCACACGCAGCTGCTTCACCACAAACTCAGCACAGCAAGCCGCTAGACATACTGCATGTAACTCAAGGCGGGCTAACGTGGGCGGAGACACCCTTGCCACTTTGGCCTTGGCAAATACCAAGTGTGACTGTCCATTGATGACTGCATACAAAGAGTATCGAAACGCTTTCTCACTGGCGTCCGCGAAGGCATGAAGCGCAATAGGCGTGTCAAGATTTCAGCAAAACCAACGTGGTATGTCAAAGCCTACCACTTCGGCCAAGTCTCCCCGCCTTGCGCACATGCGGCTGCGATGCCATCAGGCAACTTATTATCCCAGTCGCCACCGAATTTCCAGGCGTGCTGTAGCAGCATCTTTACCGGCACAACTGTAGGTGCTGCTAGACCTAGCGGATCAAACACTGACGCAACACACTTAGGAGGGATCGCCGTGTTCAAACAGGTGGTCTATCGGACTCATCACTGGATTTCCATTTCAGCCTGAGGACTTTCTCTCCAGCCTCTGGATCGCATTGGTAATTCGTTGCCTCGCCACATGCGGAACTCCATGCCAGCCTCTGTAAGAACACGCACGCTGAACTCTTGCATCTTCTTGGCTTCCGGGGCATTTGAGACACGAGAGACCAAATCGTCAACGTAGAAACTCGTGTCACTTCGACCGGGCCACAGGAAACGCAGGTACGGACGGTCTTCGGGATTAACCACGACCATGAAGAAAGCCTTGCGGATGTCCACTTGGAGCGCGCTCTTATATTCACGGAACCTTAATTGCATACCCGCGAGACTTGGCAATAAGGACGTTTAGCAAAGCAAAATTTCGAAAGAAAATTCGAGTCTGGGAAGGAGTACAGAAACAAACTTCGAAACCTCCAAAACTTGGACGCGAAGCTGCAGTGGTTTGCGAAAGTTACTTTCTACTTCCTCAGTACGTGATGCACTCTCATTAATGGTGGAGCTCCCGTAGATCTACCCCGTATGCGCGCGCCAGAGCTCATGCTTCCTTTTGTGTTCGTATACACTTTCCTTTTGTGTTTAGAATGAAGCTTTCATCGTCTCCCTGCCCTATATGAAATAAATTCTGCCTGACACCACATGGCACAGCAGTACAGTGAACAGAAGTGATCGTGACTGGTTGACGTTAAGTTTCCTTTCCTTTTCATACTTGTTTCTTCTTCGCAATGGCTAGCCAGTGGACCCTTGCGTCTTCATCCTCCGCAGCACCGGTGTCTGCTGAGCCTGCGATGACCACTACCCCACCAAGCCCCACATCGCCCTCAACATCGTCCCAAGTGAGGTTCGATCTCCAAATGGATTTGTGTATGCTACGCCAGCTCCGTGCACAGGACGCCCCAATCAAGTGTGGCTCCTCTGCGTTTGAGACTGTGGCGGCGGAGCTGCCAGCTCCCAGGAAATTTGGGTTGGTGTCGAAGAAAGCGGTTAGGGATCGCGTGCTGAAGTGCATGGAGCAGCACACGAAGAAGGAGAACTGGGCAAAACGGCAGTAAGTTTTCTGGTGCCTTTCGTACATGTACCAGTAATGTACCACTAGTGTTCGTACACACATTCATTGCAAAATCAAAAAAACAGTGCTGTGGTTGATTTCAGTTTTGTACTTGTCTTTTACAAATTCCATTTTACTGACTTTTGACATGACTGCTGTCTGCAGATTCTGTATAACAGAATCCACGCAGCATCATAGTTCAGCATTAAACTGTGCATGTAAAACAAACTGTGTATGGCTACATCATGCTTATGCCCTGACCATATGTGTACAATGTGTTACTTTCCTTTCGTGCAGGTGTGGTTCAGCTGATGATTTTGCAGAAAAGGAGACCCTCCTGAATGAACTGGAATGAACTGGTGGAGTTGCAGCGTGAAAAGGAGCAGGTCATGGACAAGGACAAGCAAGCTGCGAAACAGCAACGAGAGCAAGCTGCTCGGCTACGTGAGGATGCCTGCGCCACACTTGGGGAAAGTGGAGAGAGGAGCAGAAGGACAGTCGGCGGAGCCACCAGCAAAACGGAGCAGGCTGAGCCAGCCAGACTCCGTGTTGTCTTGCCTCCAAACAAAGAACGATGCCTCAGTACTGCTGGAGAGGGCGCGGCTGGCACTGGAGAAGGAAAAGCTGAAAGTGCAGAGAGAGGAGCAGCGCCTGGCTGCGGAGAATTTGGAAGTGGAGAAGGCAGAAAAGAAAGACAAGGCTGAGGATGACGGGCAGAAGAAGGAAGATGATAGAAAAGAACAACAGTTGTTTATGCAAATGATGGCTCGTGTTATTGAGAAAATGTAAATGAAATATGTCAAGTCCTTGTTTCTGTGTTGTATACGAGTGTCGCTGTGCCTATATGTGAGCTTTGCGCGCGCGCGCGCGTGTGTGTGTGTGTGTGTGTGTGTGTGTGTGTGTGTGTGTGTGTGTGTGTGTGTGTGTGTGTGTGCGTGTGTGTGTGACTGTGTGCGCACGTGTGTGTGTGTGTGTGTGTGTGTGTGTGTGTGTGTGTGTGTGTGTCTGACCTTCGTTCTCGCGGCCTCGAGGGGGAATGGCGAGCTGAATGCGAGTCGCGTTCCACCTGGCGCTCGGCGTACTCAGCACCGGTAGATGCCCAGCATACCCCTCCCGTCACCTGCTACACCTGCGATGGACAGTTTACGCGCCCCAGTGATCGCGCACGCCACAAATGTAAGGCTGAGCGTGCGAAGCCGGTTGCGGAGCAGAAAGGTGCATGCCAGTGTGGAGAGTGTGGCCGTTGGCTGAAGTCCCGTGGAGGTCTGGCAAGGCACAAGTGTACTTACCCCCAGTCAGCAGTCGGTGCGCCCCGGCCGCTGCCTGCTTCTCCGCTGTGCTGCGTCGCTCACTGCCAGGCTTGTGACCGCTGCTTTGCGTCTACACGTGGCCGCGCCCGTCATCACTGCTCGCGGACTTGTAGTCGTCCGACCGTTCAGGACCGTCAGGGTTTCATGTGTGTTTGCGCCTGCTCCCGCCGATTTCGCTTACCGCATCACCTGGATCTTCACAGGGCTGTGTGCTCCTCCTCTCTCTCAGCTGCCCCTCCGGGGCCCACGTAACCTTCATGGCAGTGGCTCAACAGGACAGGACAACAGGTGTGTGTGTGTGTGTGTGTGTGTGTGTGTGTGTGTGTGTGTGTGTGTGTGTGTGTGTCAATTCTTCAGCCTTGCAAGCTGTTGAATGGTGTAATCCCAGCACACGTTGCTATGGCTTCTGCCGTAGCATTGCTATCATCGCCTCCGGCGATGGGCGTCAAAGGTCAAAGGTCAAAAGGTGTGTGTGTGTGTGTGTGTGTGTGTGTGTGTGTGTGTGTGTGTGTGTGTGTGTGTGTGTGTGTGTGTGTGTGTGTGTGTGTGTGTGTGTGTGTGTGTGTGTGTGTGTGTGTGTGTGTGTGTGTGTGTGTGTGTGTGTGTGTGTGTGTGTGTGTGTGTGTGTGTGTGTGTGTGTGTGTGTGTGTGTGTGTGTGTGTGTGTGTGTGTGTGTGTGTGTGTGTGTGTGTGTGTGTGTGTGTGTGTGTGTGTGTGTGTGTGTGTGTGTGTGTGTGTGTGTGTGTGTGTGTGTGTGTGTGTGTGTGTGTGTGTGTGTGTGTGTGTGTGTGTGTGTGTGTGTGTGTGTGTGTGTGTGTGTGTGTGTGTGTGTGTGTGTGTGTGTGTGTGTGTGTGTGTGTGTGTGTGTGTG